AGTTCTCTGGAGATATTCAAGACCCACCTGGACAAGGTCCTGTGCAGCCCGCTGCAGGTGACCCTGCTTTGGCAGGTGGGTTGGACCAGATGACCCACAGAGGTCCCTTCCAACCCCTACCATTCCGTGATTCTGTGATTTTGTAATTTAGAAATAAATCACTGCCTGTCCGGTGAGAGGCCGAGCCACAGCTTCCCAGAGGGAGACTGCATTGGCAGGATAGCGCTCCTGGGTACCAAGTTTGGGAAGCAATGATGGAAGGAAGGTTTTTCAGTAGAGAAAGGGAGCAGATAGAAACCACACCAGGAGTAGGGAGACTGCCTGAAGAAGAATGGAGAAAAAGCTCAAGTTTGTCCATAGTTCCCAGCAGAGTATATAGATACCTGCCACTTTGTTAGCTACATCCACCGAGCACCACCAAAAGGGTTAGATTTCCACCAGATCACCAAACAAATTCCGGTCACCGCAGGGCCATGTAACGTTTGTAGAGGGGAAACAGAGGGGAAGTATGGTAGGTGGGGGGGGATCACATTGTGAATGCACCTCCCACCAGCAACCCACAGTAACGGCAGGATTAACAGCAACTTGAAAGTGCAGCCAGAACTCCACACAAAGTGGAAGCAGCCGCTGTGGTAGATGTAACTTCAGTAAGAAGTAGCTGAGGCTTTAAAGGATTGGTATGGAAGTACCACGACACATATTTATTGAATAAAGCACAGTAAGAAATTTCATGTAAAATTCTCATAGAAGAAAGTGTATTCCAGAGAGAATTCGATCTTTGGACAGTTTTACAACATGTGAGTCAAATCAACTTTGCTGAATATTTCACTAGTCCTCACATATTGGAAAACCCTTCTTTTATCATATTTTAAATCCAGTAATAGTATAAATTTCTTCTGTAAGCAGATTTTTATGTTAGACCCTTTCTTCTCTGCCAAGATTATTGTTAATTGCATTCTACATTTATAACTGAAAAGACAAAACAAAAACTTGCTTTATTCATTTCGAGCTCATACATATAAAATTGCAGTTCCTACAATCAGTTTCCCACTGTGTGAATGAATCCCATATGCAACACAATTTGTTTTAATATGCTGTCTTTTATGGGTCCTCTCAGTAATATTTCAAGCATGCTTTGGAAGTCAAAATGTTCTAAAAAATTATGTTCTTTCAACACTGCTTTTAATTTTCCCTCTCCTAGATGTTTGCTTGACGTCTACAGTTTGGAACAGACTCTGATTTCTGCAGTTAAAATTAGAAAAGTCTTCTGATTAATCATTAGACTGATTTCTTAACTAACAGAATCACAGAATCACAGAATAGTAGGGGTTGGAAGGGACCTCTGTGGGTCATCTAGTCCAACCCACCTGCC